TTTTTAGTGGAAAAATTGGATAATAGCCTTGGGCTGCCACGACCTTGCACTTGAGTCGTAATGGATAAAATTCACTTGGTTGATGAGTGCGACCCAGCTTTGTGTGATGCTACTGTATTTCTAGTATTAGTAGCCAGCCTCAACTACTTTAAGATATTTTAATAACTTTATAACTTGACATTTATTATAACTCTTGTTGGTAAGAGACAGCACAATTTCCCTACAACTTTAATTTTGTTTTCATTTTAGATCATGCTGCAAGTCGCAGTATAATACTTTATTTTATATTTTAACTTGGGTTTTACTTAAATAGATTTACCTAACAGGAGGGCACGGACTGATCTGATGCTAGAGATAAATTGAAACCTTAGTGAGCTAGTCCAACACACTTCCTCTCCTTTTGTTTTAGTGTATTGTATTTGTCTCTTTTTTATGTTAGAGATTGTAGTTTGACATTTTTCCATTTTTACTCTTACTTTAAAACAAACTCAGTTGGAGGTCCATAGTACATTACTTGATATCCATCAAACTTTCAGTTAGCAGACTCTGCTCTTTCTCTGCAGTAAATGTGTTTATTGGAGTAGACAATAGAGTATTAGGGAAGGAGAAATTTTGGTGCAATGACCACAGATATCATTGTGACAGATTTGTGCTTTGTGATTGGGTGTTAAACTAGACGTTTTGTACTCCAGCAAATACAACAAGTACCTAAGCAAACAAAGAAATAGCTTTTTCTACTTGGTGAAGGATGTAAACTGGAAAAACGTTCAGTCACTTTTCAAGGTAGGGCAGTCTGCAGGAAGACTGGTAGGGTCTGTAAGAAGTCTTCTCTTAGACACAGGATTTTACTAAAGCTGTGAAGACACCTAAAGGTCATCATTCTGTTAACAGCACAGTTCAAGATAATGAGTGTCATCTGGTGTACCAAGAAGGTTTAATAAAGTTCTCTCCCTAAAGTTGAGACTCAGCATGATCAGAATCCAGGTGATTGAAGATTATTGGTGTGGCATGCAGTCTAGGATGTCCAAGACTAAGGGATTGGTCTGTTATGACCCCAAGGTACTTGCCAATGAAAGAAATGGAGCAATAGCACTGGTTTATGCCACCTACAAATTGTTTTGCTAATACATACTGGCAGAAGAGGCTGTTGGAGATAGGCAACCTGTCACC